GTCTGTACTGACTGTGGAGAATTTCCTGTAAAACTCATGTAAGAGTTAACAAGTAAATAAATAAGTTTGAGGATAGCCTGTTCATTAAAAGCTTTTGCCATTTAATAAAAAAATATTCCTGCAGTCATGGTAGTACAATTGAATCTAATTTACCTAATCCAAGTCATATTTAGTCCAAAAAGGATATACATAAATATTGTATATTGAGACATGTACATATTTACATGTATGTTTACATTGTAGAAGTAGAAGTGTCAAGATTGTGTATGTTATTAACATGATTAATATGATTAATGGTTGTCTCGAATAAAATTGACCAATTATATACAACTGAATGTACTGTACATGTGAACAAAAGTCTGGAATACATGAATTACATATAAATATATATATATATATATATATACTACTGTTTTACATATGAATAAAATTCATGCACTGACTATTTGGTAAGGACTTTAAACATATTATATAAATAATAATAAAAATATTCAAAAGTGTGTTTTATGATTATGAACAGATATTTAGGAGAGACATAAAGAGATATATGTAAAATAAATACAGAAGTCGTACTTTGGTGGAATAAATCATTTAACCTTTATATATATATATGGTGTACAAAAATCTTTGCACCTTTGTTTGCGGTATACCATCTTTGCCCCAAGTTTATTGTTTTCTGTTTGATATTAAATGTATGATTAAGATCCATTTATTACACCTTGTGATCCGTTTATTTGGCAATCGCCAATGGCAGTCAGCAGGGTTTAAGAACATTTGTTGTTCGACCTGTTAGTATAATGCGTTTTGTTAAAATATACTTTTCCACTCTTTTTGGTCTTTTGGAAAATGTTGTTTGTGCTGTATTTAGACCCCTCTAACAAGAAATTTGTTTTGCATGCACACGTATAAAAATTGCAGTTTTTATCCAACGCAATCATAGGTTTGCACGTTGTTTTCAATTTAGACTTGTTTATATTTTTCCGTTTGGGCTTGTATTATATTTGCCTTCGTGTTTATATGATCCGTTAATCCTAATTTGACTCCTCAAAATTCAAGAGTCTATCCTAAATTGAGGTAAATTACCTGGTCTTCCAAATACTGTTTTGACTCCTAACATCACTGAAGAGACTTTAATTGTCGAAATCCGGACATGGTGTACAAAAATCTTTGCACCTTTGTTTGCGGTATACCATCTTTGCCCCAAGTTTATTGTTTTCTGTTTGGTATTAAATTTATAATTAAGATCCACTTATTACACCTTGTGATCCGTTTATTTGGCAATTGCCAATGGCAGTCAGCAGGGTTTAAGAACATTTGTTGTTCGACCTGTTAGTCAAATGCGTTTTGTTAAAATATACTTTTCCACTCTTTTGGTCTTTTGGAAAATTTTGTTTGTGCTGTATTTAGACTCCTCTAACAAGAAATTTGTTTTGCATGCACACGTATAAAAAGTGCGGTTTTTATCCAACGCAATCATAGGTTTGAACGTTGTTTTCAATTTAGACTTGTATATATATATATATATATATCTAAATAAAAAAGTCCAATATTTCCGGATAATGCATATATTATTTAATATTCACTAGTACTTTCATGTTTTACAACTATCTTCAGATGAAAGGCGAATAATTGTAACTATGAGACGGTAGTGAAGTACGTAACGTCATAAACAATTACAAAAGGGAGATAAACGTTCTAAAGTTTTGTCTTGGAGAAGATTCAAAATTAAGTACCCTTATAAGCCAAGAAACGTTGGTACAAGGCAAACGGCTACCTAAGAACTTAAAACGTCTACTGACCCGTGCCAAGTTCGACCCAATCGAAAGGAAAAAACAATTCGATGTGTCGAAATGCACAGATTCTCGTTGTGGCACATGTGCATACATATATATCGGAAGCGAACTTAAGACAAAATGCGGACAAACGATATATGCCAATACCAACATGACGTGTAAAAGTGAAAATTTAATTTACTGCATTGAATGCTGCGGCTGCAACAAAATTTACATCGGACAAACCGGCAATAGTTTAGTGAAAAGAACACGCATTCATCGACAACACATCCAACAGCTTTTTAAAATGTTTCCGTTCTATAAAATTAATGTAGAATGTAACATTAGAAGAATCATAAAGGAACAATATTTTATAACCAAATTCAAGCCAAAACTATGTGCATTAGGCTTCCAATAGCGTTACATTTGGCTTTCCATATTTTACTTTAGAACGTTTATCTCCCTTTTGTAATTGTTTTATGACGTTACGTACTTCACTACTTTTTATCCTTTCTGAATCTTGAAATGTAAGTGCATGTTTTGGAAGTTTCCCTGTGCTAGCATGAGTTCTAGGAGATAGTCCATCTACATCGAGTGATTTTGCAATTGAAAGTAATTTCTTCTTTTCAACCCCATGGATAAAACAAAATGTCTGTCTACATACCCGCTTTCCTTTGAAATAAAACTCCAGGTATTGGCGTTGCCTTTCTTTAATTTTGTGTTTCTTGGCCTCAGTGACACTACCAGAACGCCTGTGTGCAAATAATTCAGCATTGATTATCATATCAAGTGCATCATTAGAAAGTTCCTTGAAGTGCTCTCGGAATTCAATAACGGCATCCATTTCAATGATTTGGCGACAAGGTTCGCCATACAACTCTTTGCACCCGCAAGTGTCATTTCTAAAACGGGCCTGTGCAATATATTCTCGTGTATCGTCATTAAAATACACGTTTTCAACATCAGAATTAATCTCGGACTCGGGGCATTCGTAATCGTAAAAATATAATTTGTCGACCCTATTCAACTCATTTATGAAATCATCATCTTGGTTCTACAAAATCTCAGGCAGTACTCTTCTCTGACTTGCCGAAAATCAGGTTGACACAAACATAAATAACTAAAAAAAACCCACAAAATACCGATCTAAGAAAATTAGCAGTTACTGAAAGCAAGTGTAAAGCAACACACATCGAATAGGTAAAGCATTATCTTATAGACAAAAGTATCAATCAGTACACATCCAACGGATTGCGTGTAAAGACGTCACAATTCAGAGCAAAGCATGACATTGTAACAAGTCTGCTTAATCCTGTCTTTCATCTAGTTATATATTGACATGGATAAAAATATTTGGTTGAGAACCAAACTTTCTGAACAATGTTCTCTTAAAGAACTTTTTAAATTTCATGTCCATGTAATTCATTCCTGCTGTGCCATTGTATGGATTATATGAACAAGATTAATACTTCTACGTTATGTTTGTCTCTAGTGGAGAGTTATCACTATTGAAATCTTACCTCATCTTCTTTTTTGCATTGTGATACGATTTAAGTAACACTTGTATTTTATAATATTATTTCCATTATATACATGACAGGGTATTCACTTGTTGGCTTGATTATCTCTGATTTTCAGTTGCTATTACAGGTAACAGAGACTAAATACAAGAGATAATGTAAGTCGGCAAATTGTCGTGATCGCTCGAACTTCGTGATTTCATTGCAAAACCGTAATTCTCAAAATCAAAAAAGTATCTATGATTTATATTCTTAAATAATGATACCTGCAATTCCCTATCAAAAGGCATTATTGGTATCCATATTTTAACTTCATATTTGTACTATGAAAAGTATGAACCATACCAGCAGCATTCCTCATGCTCCTTTTTCTGAGATTTCGTTCAATTTTCAAACTGTCAAATGTTTGACTATCTTTGTTCCTATAATCTTTATACTAAAAGATATATTTTTCAAACCTTTTCAACCATATCAATTAAATTGATACAACAGAAAGAAACTAAAAGAGAGGGAATGAGTCTACGTGAAAATTTTCAATGATGAGAGAGCTGACACAAATTTCAATAAATGGAGATGTCAGTTTCTTGCTTTATATTTCACTATATGACAAAGTAAATTGAATTCAGTTCATTCCGCTGATGTATATAAAATCATCAAAGATACCAAAATTGAAATTTTGTATGTACGCCCGATGCGCGTTTCGTCTACATACGACTCATCAGTGACGCTCGAATCCAAAAAAGGGAAAAAGTGCAAATAAAATACGAAGTTGAAGAGCATTGAGGACCAATAATTCCCAAAATGTTTGCCAAATACAGCTAAAGTAATATTTTCCTGTGGTAGAAGCCTTATTATTTAATATTGGAGCGTACAATTTAATTACTACCATTTCTTTTTTTATTTGATCTTTTAATATGCTTCTTTGTGTATTAAAATGAAAGGTACAAATATAAATGCACCAGCTGCTCACTTCGACAATTAATGTCTTTTCAGTGATGCTCGAGGCCAAAATATTTGAATTTGAAAAATCTTATACAAGTAGTAGAACGGATCAAACCATAAAGGACAGTACATGCTTTAAACATAGACAAATCTGGACATACATTATCATTGATATAGGCTATCTATATCAATATATGCTTTTAACATGGTGTCAATGTATGTGAAGACACACGACACAACCAACAAGGTTCATGAACTAGTTGAGGTATATGTTAATTAAGTTGCTTGAAAACTAAAAATTCCCTTGTAATTTCATTCAGGTGTTATTACATGCATTTACAAGTAAAACAAAGCTAAACAATGTAAACGTATGCTTATAGCACGTGCTAAAAATATTTTAAGATGTGTATTCAAACGAGACGGCAATCATATGATCTAAACACAGGTGAGAAGATTATCATGTGAAGACTATATATACATGTACTGTTCCAAAAGCGAGTGTAAAAATAGATTGTTTCTTTGTATTTGTATGAAGCCGAACATAATTAAGTCCACATTTCCATATACTCAATTTTAATAGAAATTTGATGAAAATTTGTAAGTACACTTTAATTTGATGCAATGTATTTATATGATTCAATTAAAATGATTGTTTGTTTAACTTTATTTATATAATTACATTATAATTATTGTCGCTAAATGGCATTTCTCTATTTCTTTTAAACAAACAAACAATTTATAAAAGATGCCGCGTTGATTGAAAAAAGTACATAAGTTCATTACCATTCAAAAACGGTTCGACTTTATTTATGTACTAAGTAATCTTTAACTCAGTAAATTTATTTTTTTCTTTTTCACTTCTGTCGTCTAATTATTATTAGGTGGATTGTATTCTGTATTTAATTATAGTAATACCACGAGTGAATCAAAATCAAAATATGATAAAAGAACAAGCAACGCATAATCATTTTATTTAACCAAGGACATTTCATCTACGGGAACCTCTGACCTCGATCATCAGCTGATGTTTGTTTATGTTTTCAATCTTGAGCCTAGAGTAAAACAATATGATTATTTTTTAAATATTGTATCATAATACAAATTAAAAGAAATTAAATAAATGAAATTGCTTCCAATATAATTCCGATGAACACTTTTAAAAGTTGTTTGCTTTTGTAAATCATTTGTTTACGTCGGCAATCAGGTGATCTTATGTTATGCTAAAAATAAACTGATCTATAAATACATATCTACTTTATGTATAACTGCGATTTGGGTTTTATTCAAATGATGGAATTTGTAAAAGGTATGTATAATTTTGATATATATAATATATGGACTTTATAACCTGTTACTGTACTGTATATAAATTCAAAATATTTATGTATATATGCATGCTAACCGTGATCTGATTCCGTGACAAGCTACATTAAAAATAAGGTCTATTAAATGCCATGTGTACATAAGTTGCTATTATTTCTCTATAAGTACCGTACACATGTTTATCTTTCACGGACGGATGTGTCAAGTGATTAATTAATTTTTTATTCGGGGGGGGGGGGGGGGGGGGGGGGGGGGGGGGGAGGAGATAAAATATATGTAGTATTCCAAACAAAAGTGTTAAAACACGGCGAAAGAAAAAAAATCTACTGTTCAATCTCCATGCCAATGCATCCATTTGGTAGAAAAAAATAGATTGATCACCGAAATTGCCAAATGAATAATGAAATACTTTTAGTGCGTTTAAAATGGAAACAAGATGGAGTCATATAGAAATGTTGATATATTGATCAATATTTAAGAGACATTTAAGTTCTTGTTATGTAAAATTTGACAGTTGTCCAAATATTGATTTTAAACAGCTGATTCCGTGCGTAAACACAAAACTGAGCATGCGCAGAATTATGAAACTGCCATGAAAACTCGTATTTTGTTGTATAAAAAATGATGTGTATGATTTAGGGGGGAGGGGTGAAGAAGAGAACTGGTAACATCGATATTTGTTTGGTAGGGGTGCCATTGTTTCCTAAAAGAACGTACCCATTTTGATATAACATTCACTGAAATTCTGTATCTTTATTTATATAAATAATAAAGACAGAATGACTTATATTCATATAAAAGAGGTAAAACATGAACCATGCTTATATACGCACTAATTCTATAGCACCACTAATTATTCATAAATATACAGGTTATATATATATGTAACACGTATAAATTGACATCGTTTGGTGCACATATATTCTATCGATATACATACCTTTGGTTTGTTGCATTTACTGCATGTTCAAGTCGTCAGATTTTAAGTGGATGTATATCATACCTCTAATCAATATGCAGTTATCAAATTAAACGTAAATGAATTTCAATATAGATGTCATTAAAAAGAAGTGTAATTTTATACAAAATCTCGCAAAATTATTACCCATATTTTTGGCACCCCGTAAACCAATAATAGGAAAGTAACCATCAACCCAACCAAACTCCCTCTTTCCTTACAACCACCAACCCCATGTATTAGTTTTATCGAGCCTGAAACGGGTCATTATCCGTCGTCCATCTTCCGTTGTCTGTCATCCGTGTTGTCAAGTATCTCCTACTCATCTATGGAACATTCTTGATTAAATTTAAATGAATGGAATCTAATTTAAAAATAAAAACGTATCCAATTATGTGTTTGATCCAAAAACAAGGCTGATGTTGCTTACATAGAACATACGGATACACATTTTTTAAATGTAATTCAAAATTTATTGTACGTAGAAACACAGAGAAGTTTTCAGTTGATGTGTTTTGTAGCAAGTCCTTTCAGGTGAGATAAATTATTTATAACACCCCTTCGCAGGTTTCAAACAACTTTGTAATCAGTAGTAATCCTAATGTAATGGTAAGTAAACATATATATGATATAAAATTAAGACTTGTTTTCAAGTTTTAATTTTTATGAATTATTTTTACTTTCCATTCAAAGCTCCGACCTTATCCTCAGTTATAAATAATTTCGGTATATGGAATATGTCGTTCTTGCCGATACACTGAGCAGGACTGACACCCGGATGTGTATGATTAGGTAGATGATTGAAATTATGCTGCGAGTTAAGAGAACGTTGTAAGGGAGATAAAAGGTAGTTAATGCCCCTAGTTGTCGTTGGCGACTTTTTGAATTTGTTTAGATAAGTGCGTCATACGGTAACTCCATTATATAGTATTTAACATTGACTCAATTGAAGAACGTTTTTTTTTTCTATTTACAGGTTTATAATTCTCTTCAAATTAATCCATTCTTGATCTGAAGTATCAAAATGAATGTAAAATATTTCCTGCTTATTTGTTTGACATATCTCACAATAATATTGAAAGTAATTTACAGTGAGGAAGGAGGTAAGAATTAGTTAAACATGACATCTTAGAATATTTTTCAGATGACAAGTAAAAAAGTATTACAAAAATACCAAACTCCAAGGCAAATTCAAAGAGGGGAGGTCTGTAAAAACTAACAAAATAAGATGTTATCATTCAACGGAGCAAGTGAAAAACAACTGCCATGTTCCTAACTCGGTACATACATTTTCAGAAGAATTGTGTTGGTCAAGCATGTTTGTATTGATAGCTAAACCTCCCACAAGTATGGCGGTTATTTATAGTTCCGTTTTATTCGCAAAATTTGTCATTTTTAGTGCACAGTCAAAAGATGATATAATTTAGTGAAAGCAGTGCTTAACTTTAACATGTACATGTATCTTTTAAATTTCATATTTAAATTCCATGCTCGATAACAAGAATAACCATGTATGTTAATCGCAACTGTATTTAAGAATGGATTATTTGGTACATGTAGTTGTGTATAATTATTAAGTTAGATTAGAACTGGCGTCATAATTTAGTTTAAGTTGCTGTAGATACAACATGCTTATTTCTAAAGGACCCCTACACCAGAAAATTTTAAAATAAATGTAGAAGAAACTATCCAACACCTTCCATCCATTTTCCAAAAAGGCAACAACATACATAGCGCTTATAAGACTATTTAGTTTGGAACCACAAATTGTATTTGTATACGTAACGGGTTTAAATGGTGACTTGATTATCATCTCTGTCAGCTGTTGCAATAGTGATTTAATACTTCTAATTATTATTTCCAGTTTTCTGTGGTGTAAATTCCAATCCAGCTGTGTTTGGAAAAGATGTCAGTATTTCCTGCATATACAATGGTTCAAATACTTGTATTGAAAACCGTACAAGAACGTGGACGAAAGGACAAAACAAAGATTTTCTTATGATGGATGGCCATCCATCACCTACAGCAGAAAGATATAAGGAAAATGTCCTATCCTGTTCAGAAGTCGAACTAGAAATATCAAACCTTTCTTCTGATGACTTAGACAACTATCAATGCTATATTGATTTTAAAGAATGCGAATTGCCTTTAAATTTAGATCCATATAAGTATGAATGTAAGTTAAATTGAACTTACATTGTAGATTTATGCCATTAAAAGAGGGGTGAAAGATACCAGAGGGACAGTCAAACTCATGGCTAAAAAATAAAAAAAGACAAACAGACAGAACAATTGTCTGGTCTATGGGTCTTTTATAGATAAGCATGTTAAAAGTCGAATAACATAAACACCAACCAAACAATTCAAAATAGAACGTTCCTTATCAAATGGCAAAATCAGAAGCTCATACGCATCGAACGAATTAAAAACAACTATCATATTCCAGCATTGTTACGAGCATCATTTTCTTATATGGAAAATGTTAGATTAAGCCTGGTTTATAACTAGCTATACCTCTCACGCATAGAAGTCAATTATATTAACTTTTATCTTTACACATTATACAATGGGATGATTTGAATAGTAAAGCATCAATACAATTTGTTATGCTTTCATGATCAAATATAGTAATCGCTGCAATCTAACACGTGCACATTCGAAACACAGATTGATATCACGCCAGGACATAAAGTACTCTGCATATTGTAATTTGACGACGACATGGTGACAAACCGTAAAAAAAATTGTTAAAATTTTTTTCTACACAAATAAATATGTATTTTTTTTTTGCAGATCATCCCCATGGTGAAGAAATAAAAACAAATTTCTCTTTATCAAATGACGAATTCTCCTTTTTTATTGAAATGTTCCCTGTTTATCCTATTCCCATGTGCACAGTATTCTTTGGTGTGAGTATCTTAAATTGATATACGAATTAAAATTCAATAGGATGCATTACCATTTTCTCATATATGTATATTCTTTTAATTCATGTTATTGGTAATTTTAGTCGTTAAACAAAATAAATACGGATATCTGTTCTTAGGAAAAAATCCGCTTACTTTATAGTATTACCATTTTTAGTGGATGACATAAACTTGACCCAAACAACTGATTTGACCACAACTTCATGGTAAATTACGTCACTCAAACCCTGAGTTGTGGCAGTGTGTGGATTCGCATGGCGAGCAATAAATGCATAGCAAAATATGCTTATCCTGGCAACACACCCTGTCATGCTCCTCTCCGATGTCATACTTTTCCCTATTAAGAGTTTGCTTAAAACATTTTTTCGTATCTTTTGTCTAAGATTCCAGGTTTAAGCATTTCTCATGAAGGTATATCGAGAAAAGTGTCTCTGGCGCAGGACATTTATCAAGTGTAATTTCATTCGTAATGGATAGATGATATTTAAACAGATGCACTGATAAAATAAAACATATTACCTGATTGCCATGGCAAGGTGGACATTCAAAATTCTAAATAAAGCATTCTTTATGTGTGAATATCTGTTTTTCTTAGAAGTGTTTCCTGTAATCATGAAACCTATCATCTCAAAATCAAAAAAAAGTTTATTTAAAAGATAGGACATAATCTCTAAGAATATTTTGTTTTTAATGTACAGTATAGATTTAGTCTACAGCTGATCATTTTTTGTAATGTTTGTTTCATCTAGAGTGAACGATACGCTAGATCAGGCTAATGTTATCTTCAATATTTCAGAATATGCCAATGACAGATTTTTTTAAACAGAAAACACAAAAAATTGGACATTTTTATCAATCAAAACTGAACCTGGAATTCAAGGCGTCGGGAATAATCTGTCCGATAACGGCAAATGCAACTTGCAAAATAGGTCAAACAGAAATTTCTCTTTTGAAATTCGAATTAAAAAACTGTTCAGGTAAGTTTTCTAAAATCTATTTCATGTTTACATATTTTACACAGTTTTTATAACCTGACATGATCAGTTGATTATTTTTTTCATGATATAGATATTATATATATATATATATCTCTAAAAAACAGTTGGTACATGTTTACTTAAATTGTGATAGTTGTACAAACCCACTTGAACGAAGTAGATCTAGTTCAATCTCATTCAAAACAAATATCATTACACTATGCATATAATTAAACTGAAATTAAATACTCCTTTTCTAAAAATTATCATTAATGTTGTCGTCTAAATCAGAGACCTATTCTAAAAATGTACTGACGTATTGTCGCCTAAATAACTACTAGGTATCTGTCAGATTTCAATTCAAATCCTAACATTTTACATCAATATCAAAACTCGACTGCCTTATGGCCTGTACTACTAGTATAATTCTAAATTGAATGCTGGTTACATGCCTTTTTTTTTTACTGTATTTTTTTTATGATAACGATAAAGGTAAACACCTCTTTTGATGTATATGGTCTTTTTGATACTACTTAATAGTTATTTCCGTAAAATTGGGTTTTATTTCAGTTGAAATTGACACTGATAAACAACACTGTATTACAATTACGATGGTTTAGTTTCAAAAATGCTTACATGAGAAGAGACATACCGTTTACACCTTTCTATTTCATTAGCAGAATACATCTACTCACTTTACACTTTGTCGATTAAAAGACTTATATTATAAAAAGAATTGAAATGTCGCCACCAATAATCCAGTTTTCGCTACAATATCTCAATATCATATAACAATTATGATAAGTAAATGTAGCATAAGTCCAATACTTACCATTTTTCTACTTAGTAATATCGCTGAGTATACCATCTTATACTGCATAGATAATTTTGGAATAACACAATTGATGGATCCATGGCAAGGTTCGATATTTGCTTTATACTTCAAATGGTCCCGTTGTATGCTGTTCTGGAGGCATCATTGGTGGAGCCAACTCTGATATTATGTCAGGATAGGGATAACCACTAGTTGTTAGACTGTGATATTGGTATTAGGTTGTATCCACTGACTTGTCTGGCTTTGACTTCCTATTCATAGTCAATTGACTTTTAAATTTTTTCAAGTTAAATTTGTGGTTGAGTAAGACAAAGAAGATATAATAAGAAGAAGGCGATCATGTATGTGCTCTGAAGTTGTGGAATATCTTTGGTTTCTAATTAGATGATTTGGCCCCTTTTCCTCAATATTTCTGTCAATTTACCAAAAGACTTTTGCATATTGTACATGTTAAAGGACATTAGGTTAGTAAAAACGGGGCGACATTCCGAAAGTATATGATGTGCAGATGCTGTTAGCATTGGGGAAACGTATTTCCATGGATTTATCTGAGCTTAACTCTTAAGACCCCTTCCACTGCCTTAGAAAGTTTATTATTGTTACATGTTTGAAATTTTCCTTTACATTTCAGCCTTTGCCAAGGATATCAGACAAGTGTTCGATGTGTGTTTAAAACAATATTTTGAATTTGGTAACATAAACATTTTATACTTCACTCATTAAACATTTGTTAAATTGAATACACAAAGTTTTGCTAAGTTTTCATTACTTTTTAGTAGTTTCATAACCATGCGCAAATAAATGCCATAATTTATGGTGGATTCTAAATCAATTATGAATAAATATCAACCTTTAATTTCTTTCTATTTTTAGACATAGAAATGCAAGTATCATTGACACTGACCTCGACAGAGAAGGCGATTGTATGTATTTTAACTATCATATGTCTTGCACTTGTCCTTTGGAGCATGTGTCGGAACAGGACGCTGATACAAAAGACTTGTAATTAATATTTTTACAATATATGCACAGACGAATGATTTGGAACAAAATCGCATTTTAGAAACTCCGATATGATTTGATTACATATTGGTTAGAGTCGTGTCGAATATTTTTTAAACCTTTCTTCCGAATGATGAGAATGACCGATACAAGTTTTTGTTTAAGACATGTTTTGAAAAACACTATTCAACTTTTAATCTAGTACAAAATTAAAGTACATTATAGAATCAAATGCAAAAATAACACGTTTATAAAAATACATGTGTGTGTTCTTTCTCTTAACAGTCATAACTCTTACTTCGTAATAGACAAACTGTTAACACAATTATCTCTAATCAATTCGTTTCTATCGTTTATCTTCATACTATATGGAAATTATTATCTCATTGGTGTGCTCCTGACCAAAACCTGGCTTCAGACACATTTCAGAGTATTTAGGAGGCAAAAAACATCAAAATATTGACGCTAAATGTATAAGTGTACGTTCAAAATTACGCATCGGTTGACTGTTATGTTGTGTTTGTGTTTCAACTCACTTGCGAAATGCTTTGGGGTTTTAGAAGTTTTGACCCCACAAAATCCGTTTTTTCTGTAAAAGTACTGATTGTGACGTTTGGATTTAGTGGGTGATGCATGCATGGCAATTATATTTTACCTGTCGAATCCCGCCCCTGTTCGAATTCTTCCTTATCATGATTAGACTCTTCTTAATGAATGTATAAAATTTTAAATACCGAATAATTACTCTATGTTCAATTTCCGTCATTCATGAATATAAGCACTGATGGAAATTTTATTTTACATTAATAAGTATAACAATATATCTATATTAACTCGGTGATAAGAAAAATAAAAATAAGAAATAATTAGGCATTGTTCCCTGAGCAACAATCCACATGAGTATATTCAAATATATTGTACGTTTATCTCTTCTACAATAGTACTTATAATGGCGTTATGTGTTTTTACGTGTTTTATGTTGCACACATACCTGGGTAATGGTTTGAAGATATTTATGAAGATTGTCCTCAAATTTATTTTTACAACAAACTTCTGTGTCATCTATCGTATCGATGTGTTTAACATCTTTATAAGAATAATTTTTATAAAAGAAAACTTGTCCTTTTTTTATATTTGAGGTCTCTTATTGCCTAATTGTGTTGATATCATTATAAATTTGTTATTCCAGACAAGGAACTTTCAGACCGAAATGTATGGGACATCAGGCGACCATTGCTAGCTGTACTGGCAACATTTGGATCGATGTCTGGTGATATTTTAACATTTACAAAAATAGGTAAGCGAACCAAAATTATTTAACAGGTAAAAATATATTTTATCAGAGTCAATTGATGAAAAAAAAAAGTTATAATAAATTGGAACCAGTCAGAATCCTGTTAGTCCGTGGTTTTCGTTTGCTGTTTAACGTATTTGTTTTTCGTTCATTATTTTTGTACAGAAATTAGGCAGTAAGAATTCTCGTTTGAATTGTTTTATATTTGCTATTTTGGTGCCTTTTATAGCTGACTATGCTTTGCTCATTATTGAAAGCCATACAATGTCATATAGTAGTTAATTTCTGTGATATTTGGTCTCTTGAGGAGAGTTGTCTCATTGCCAATCATACCAAATTTTATATATATGGCCGTTTCCGGATTTCTCCGCAAAAATTTCTCTCAGTTTAAAATATAACAAAAAGGTTTTACTGAGTTGATAACATAACAAACGACCATCTTTGAAAACGTCTAGTATTGATTGTTCAAAACAAAATCCGAATTCTATACCATCATTGACTGACTTATAAAATGATTGTAGGTTTTCTTGAGTTTACCATATTTATGTATACTGAGACTTTCAACAAGATTTTATATTTTGTTTAAAAGTGGTTATTTTGTTGTTGTTGTTTTGACAAGTAATTCAAATAGAACTTTGTAGCCCTTCAAACTGACTTGATATAAATGATAACAGTTAAAATGTATGCCTGCTTCATATCCTGATTTACGTCAATCATGCATGAAAGAATAAACGGCAATTTATACGATGATATCTCTGCTCAGATATAAAAAGCGGCATAACGAATAGATTGAAAAAAGCCTTTCAACAAAACAGAAGATTTCAGCTTCATAAATGAAATTAAGTGTGAACTTTACATTTACAAGTACGATATTCCAGCCCCCCTGAGTGTAGAATATAATTCTCCCACTAGATACGATATTCCAGATCTTTCGTTACGTATCATGATGTCCTTGATGGAAGGTTACTACTAACATGGAAGCTAGAAACCTTAAGTCAGGGATTTAGCGGAAAAATTCAAATGATCCTTTTGAAAACTTTACTGACGCTGTCATGCGTTGGGTGATAGATATAGAATTACAGATGGCTATGAATATGTTTAAATTGTCGATACCAAAATTATAACTTCTTTTTCTAGAATAGGAAATCACTGAATGACAATTATCACCAAATTTGTACTTACATAAGTAGCATGATGGTTGTCACATGTGGATCAGAATTAGCTTACCACTTACGAGTACCTGAGTTCTCTTCTAGTTGGTATAAAAGTGGTCCGTGTTTCTCTTGATTTTTAAAGCTTTGTTACTTGGACTTTTTAGAAAAAAAATAGTGTTCTCAAATTTCATTGTCGGTCAATATTAAAGGTTAGAAAGTTACATAACCGATGGTTTATTTATTTTATAATGTCGTAGCGTTAAAAGAGACTTCATTACTAACCCATTTTTTGAGTGATGCCTTATGACTTGAATTAACTCATCACTGTATTATATAGAAGACCGATTGGTGTCAAATGTTGAGAAGCATCTGCCCACCCTTTCGTACCGATATTTCATGGAAAAAAGTCTTTTGTATATTATTGTTTATTTCAGTTGAAGATAACCAAATGCTATTTCTCTGTTTTGCTCTTGCCCTTTTGTTGACCTTTGCATCGTTGGTTCTTCTAAGTAATACGAATACTATTAGCATACGCGAAGGAGTCAGAAAATCTTGTAAGTATAAACATAATCGAGTATTGCTTTGAATTTCACTTATTCTCAACAAAATGATCTGTATTCTTAGTTAAGACGATCTTGTGGTGTAGGTTTGTCCTTATGCCCTTTTTGTTTTATAAAGCGATAAACCTTTGTCACTTCCAAACGATTTGAAGAAAGTCAACCTTATGAAGACTACTTTTACGGAAAACTGCTTGACTGATTTTAGAACGATTATATCTTTAATGAAACGATCTATTCTGTTCAAATTGGTCGAGATGCATTTGTATCATTAGTACACACAAACCAATAGTGTGTATGAAGAAACTATGTATTACTCACACTTATATTTTTCATAGCCGACAATCCAAACGTGTATTACGTGCACCTATTTTTGTCATAGGCAACACTCCAAACAGCAAATACACCATTTCACATTTTGTTTTCAAAGTCGGAGATCTAACTCCAGGTCTAGCATGCTATAAGGAAAGCATCCTTTTGTTGTTCCTGATTGATGTCAAATAATTAAAGAACAGTTTTCTTAACATTTAGGTTGCAGCAACTTTATTTCTTGAATCAAATGAAACATTAAGTGTGTTCTGGTCACAGGCATTATCTGTTATAGTCTTTTTGTCCCAACTTCTTAAATTTGCAAATTTTGGATTTTCATGCTTTTCATTTTCGTTGATATTTTGCTTTTTATCGCAGTTTTGATATGAGCGTCATTTGTGAGACTTAAGAAGACGGATCAAAACACGTTTATTGCGAAACAAATCATAAATAAAGGCAACAGTAGTGTATATCGCTGTTCGAAAGTCATATATCGATTGAGACAAAAACAAATCCGGGTTACAAACCAGATATACTTCGTAATAACATAAACGGTACCAATTTTTCTGCACAAGATGCGCATTTCGACAATCAATGTCTCTTCAGTGATGCTCGAGGCCAAAATATTTGAAAAACCAAAGCTTAATAAAAATACGAAGAGCTATAATCCAAAAAGGACCAAAAGTATAGCCAAAGCTGGGCAAGGAATCAGAGCTTTGCATGAGGGAGATACATTCCTTAACTTTAAATAATTTCCAAAATTTTGTAGCAGCAAATTTTAATAACGTGTATAGCTGGAAACTGTCTTCTTTAAGACGCATACTTATTCCTTTATATGATTTATTTACATATCAAATATTTACTTCCTTAGAATGATTATGGACCTTACAATGACTCACTTAATCGTGAAATGTTAGTAAAAAGCGTTTTATGCGGTAATTATGAGGATTCCTGTCATCCCGCGGCCTTGTAATGTATTATTTAATTGATATAAATTATTTCCTCTTTCATATTTCATATAAAATGTTTCTTGCCTTTCAGTCGAACGGTTTATAGAAAAATTTGAAAACTGTATTAACAGAGAGCAGAACACCATTGGTAATATATATTTATATTTTTACAACTTTTGTAAAGTACTAGTATACTTTTCAGGGTTTACTATGTACCATAATATTAGAATTTCGCACACTTCAACAATGAATTGAGCATCACCCTGTATACATTTTCAGACCTTTGCAAAAAATCTGGAAGGGTTTCGGAGTTGACATGTTTATTTCGGTCCCAAAACAACAGATTCACATGTTCCTTTTAAAGGTACAAATATCTAGTTTGTAATATAATGCAAGCCAGGTTTACTTATTTAATTAATTTTGGCAATTTGTTCACGTTAAATGCCTCCGAAAATAAAGCAACTATTAGTCAATCGATATGCGATATACATTTGTAATAGTATTGTTCCCTTTATTCCCTTTATTAGATGAAAAGGGAAAGGAATGTCATTAATTGTGTCAATGATTTATATATAATTTACCTTTTTGCATTATACAAAACATAATGTTGTTGGTAGATTTTTAGTTACCTTTGTTGAATAAATATAAAACATTTTAAACAGTCGATCCTATTCAACGAATGCAGGGTCTAAAGCTTTTATTCATTTTGTCGTTAATTGAATAAAAAAATAATAACACCCTGACGAATCTCTCTAATATAATTGTATCTTGTGCATTTTCCTTAGTTTCTCTTCACCGTTTAAGTACAATGTACTTTAAACTGAAATTATACTTTCCAAGTATTAACTACAAAAGAAAATAACAAGTAACTATGATTCACGTTTTAAACAGATATTGCACATATACCAAGTTCTAATAATCATACAATTCTTTAAGCTTTAGCTCAAATCATTTCACATCAATACTGCTTGCATTTCATTTCAAATCAATTCGGTAGATGGTATTTTATTTATTTCAGAATACGATGCTGCTAACACAGATAATCATGATGACACAGCAAGAGGACAGCCTGTTATGTGTTTCGGATTCATTGTACAGTGTTGATGATGTGTTAGACTGGTACCCGGCCGTTATTGAAATTCTTCGCAATACCGAAGGCATACTGAATATTTTACGGAGGGAACCAACTTTATGATGTGTAAATACATGTAGTTAATATCTTATATAAGTGTATTTATGCCTAAGAACACAAGTTTAACGAAACTTCACTTTTATTTAAACGTCATATGGATTGTAGGTCCGACTGATTCCTTTAACTTCAATCTAGTTTGTCAATCACTGTAATAGTTTGTTTGGATCTATGTATATAAGACTGGGTTATTTTGAGGAAAAGGTTTAATTCGGTTCTTATTAAGCATCTAATAAACTCTGGGACAAGTTTTTAATCCTGTTGAGTGCAACAGTTGTGACCTTAATGTTTACGGGTAATTCAATATAAAGTTGATAAATTCGTTGGTATTGGTTCCCTGATATTTGTCCTTAAACCTTTTACACTCAGCGGAATTGCAAACTTGTCTCGGAAACTGATATCTCATGAAATATAAAGAAAATTGAATTTCATTTGAAAGAGGTATGCTAGATTCAGTTTTATCTCTCATATTATTACATGAAACTGAATAAAGTAATTTTCTATAAAAAGAAAAAAACACCCGAAAATATAATTGTTCTGGGTTTGTTTTTATCATTTATGTACAAAAATTTCAAAAAAAGCCAAATGACGATTTGGAAAAATCTGGGTCGTGAATTTTTATATTTTTTTGGGTTAAATCTTTAGCTCGAACATGACAAAATTACATAATGATACTGGCGTTGACGTGAATGAAATCTCTAAAACGTTTTGTTGAATCATCTATTCGTAGCATTTATAACTTATAATATCTGTTATCAACCTTTTATTTATTTCATTATACATTTTTAAGAAAAATATACATTCTATTTCTTTTTTATTCATTTGTTTTAGTTTATTATTTACTGTATACACTGTACATATTGTTATGTTGTTCTATTATTTGTATTGCTGTTTTTGTTAATTGGACTCATTGATTAAATTGTGAATTGCATTGCAAAACGGACTGCGTATATATAAACAATCCCACTAGTTACGAAATGTTGTAATTACTGAATATTAATATTATTTTGTTCACAATATTTTATTTAAAAAGAAAAAAAATGGCCCAGTATGAATATTTTTAACGAAAGGTTTTGAAAGTAGTTTAACAGTAATATTACAAAATGTTTTATTTTTCAGTTGCCAAAACTAGAATATACTAAACCTAAGGCTTATTTGGCTGTAAAGCGTCTCATTTTCAAGCCTAAAACAAAATATAAAGCATATATACCTACTTGATACAATAAGTCGTGTTTTCAGTTGTAACTTGAATGGACCAATATCATTTTAGATGAATTATGTTTTGGGCAACTCCAATACTTTAGAAATAAAATGTATGTTTGAAATTTTAAATCCTCTGTAACACATTTTGAAAAAGTGTTTCAATCTAAATAAATTGCAGCTCCAATATATTACTATTATTTTTTAAATTACATTCAGTTTGGATGATAAAAATTTGCTTTAAGACTTAATTGATCTCATTATTTCTTTACACAAATCAAGTTTTTTTTATAAATGGATTGCCACATCTTGCTTTATCTAGTCCTGGAAATAATACGTTCATTTATGGTGTATTTTTGGTTATTAATTCAATAAAAGTTTATAACTAGAACGGATTTATAATGAAGAACTTCAGCAGTCTAAAGATAAGATTTAGTAAACTGGAACGGTCAAAGGTTGAAGAACAATGAATCGCAAGGAACAATACTCCAGTTGTTAGTCTTTCATCATCATTAATCTATTAGAAACATTGGAACAATACTCCAGTTGTTAGTCTTTCATCATCATTAATCTATTAGAAATATTGTTAATATGTAAATGTGTCCACTGTTTTGTAATATATTTTATTCCATGTACTTTAATTGGCTTTAACGTCGTGAACTTTGAACTTTAACAGGTGTAATGTAATAAATTTTACTGGGAAGAACAATTTATTATATTTTAGTTACGAATGTTCGCCCCTCTTGTTTTTGAACTTTCGTCAAATATTCGGAATCCTCTGGTTTTATCTATGTAGTGCTATTAAAGTCACAGCTAACCCCTACTTTTCTTTTTTACTATTTTATGATATATAGTTTTAAAAGCCGTATTTGAAAAATGCTATTAAATCCTTGTTATGTTTTCATTATTTTTGAAAGAAAAAGGATGCCAATGTTTAATGTATTTAAAGTTTAGAGAGAATTATTTCCCGCCAAATTTTCAATGTCAAGTATATCTCGGACCCTTAGTAATGTTTCTGCTTTTTAAGTTCCTTTATTTATATAAGTTATTGATATATACCAGTCTTTCAAAACGCATTTGTTTTAAGCAGAGTAGCGAACATCATAAAAGGGCATTAAAAAAAATACTAGTTCATTTTGAATGTTTATATGAATTTTACGTATTATCCTATTAACACATATTTGAAATATTTAATGTTATGCAGACTTGTTGATTTTGGATGAAAAGCCAGTTACTTTACTTACAAGTAAAGATAGTGTTTATATTTATGTATATTCTTACAATGTACAATTTGTTACTATTTGTTATTAAACTGTTTTGCTCGATGTTATTTCACATTTTTTACGTTTTGTTAAAAACCTCAAAAGCTGGTAAACTGATATCTGTCTCTAGTGTACGTTTAATATAGGTGCGGATCCATGATTTAAAAGAAAAGAGGGTGCCCGAAATGCACGTTTATGGTGATACTTGTACAAAGTTTATACAGTTATCATATATAAAGCTCCATAAGGGTCCCCTGCGCTCTTGACCCTCCCCCTGAATCCACATCTGCAATTAAATGGCATTAGGTACCAATCTCTTTTATATCTATTCGTGCATAAATTTATTATTGAAAAAGCAATAGCTACAATTTAAAGGGCGTTGAATGGAAATGAGTAGGCAAACTATGTCTCTAACGGTATCTATTGAATACTAGTAAAACATTTCGCAACTCCAAAAGTTTAAAATAGTATCTGTCTACTCTGATAGATTCAAGTTCAAACGTGTGATTATACGATGTAATGCTAGTTCTATCTTTACTATGCTCGTGAGTTTTGCAAACAAATGTGTATTTGAAGAATTGTACGACCGTCATAGACAAATAAGTGTAACTTATTTTTTTAATAAATGTGACATCAGGAAAATTCCAGATCATTCCTGATTTTAAAATTACTTTATAACAGTCAACACATTTCGAAATCAGAATTGCATACTAGACTTTCATTTGCTATTCAGGTGCATGATTCAAAATGAGAGAAAAACTTGATTGAATGTTGAGACTTGTTTTTTTTAAGGAGGTCGTTTCTACAATTAACATAACAATATAGAATAAAAAGATATTTTATGATTGCCAATGAGACAACGATCCACCAGAGACTAACTGAGTTGGGTGTTAGCAATTATAGGTCACCGTACGACCTTCAACAATGACCAGCATCCAAAACCATACAGATATAGATTGCCCCCACAATGAACAAAAATTAAACATGATACAACAACCAACACCAGATCTAGCTTAACTAAAGTGTCATAAAACTTGCATCAAAAGGTGTTGTTTTTTTTGTTACACCAGACTGAAGCTGGCAGCCACTTTTAGCAGTCAACAAAGACAGCAGCCAATTTAATAATATGTCTTAAAACCATAAAGCTCTATAAGACTCAAACATTCCAAAATTCACAAAATCTTAGTTAAATATAGCACCACCTTAAACAGCGGAATTTAACATTTTCATGGCTTGTCGTAGATTCTCAAAAGATAATAATCCGTTTTATTTATTTTCCGGTTCGGAACTTTGGCGTAGAGACTTACCGAGGACTACCGAAAGAATGTTTGGCTGATATGTAAAGAACGTTAAGGGGAAATTTTGAACCCCTGTGGTGGTCAGCAGGGCGCGGATCCAAGAAATATATATTTAATTCGAGAATAGCCTTGCTTTATTCTTTGCAATGAGCTAGGGCTGGTTCGAAACTAAGCCGTTAAGACCTACCTCGGAGTACCGAGTGTGTGGTTGGTATAAAAAATAAGTTAAGGGGCAACTTTGAACCCCTGTGGTGTCTAGGAGTGCCTGGATGTTAGGTCCGGTTCGGAAATCTGCCGAATGGACTTGGAGAAGAGTACCACCGAAAGAATGTGTGGTTGATATGAAAAGTACGTTAAGGGATAACTTTGAACCCCTGTGGTATCCAGACAGGCCCGGATGCCAGAAAAACTATTTAAGTGGTGAATAGCCTGGCTCAATAACTTTGAATTGAGCTAGTCTGGTTCGATAATTTGCCGTAGGGACCTACTGAGGAGAACCGAATGTGTAGATGGTAAATATGGAAAATACGTTAAGGGACAACTTTAAAACCCTGTGTTGGCCAGACAGGCCCGGATCCCAGAAAAATATTGAAGTGGCGTTTTATATCAAACACACATGAGTCTGAGCACCACAGGGGTTAAAAGCCCTCCTTAACGTATTTTCCATATCAACCACACATTCGGTACTCCTCGGCAAGTTCCTACGGCAAAGTTCTAAACCGGACCTAGCTCATTTCAAAGGTATTCGCCACTTGAATATGTTTCTAGGATCCGGGCCCGTCTGGCCACCACAGGGGGTTCAGAGGCGCCCCTTAACGTATTTTCCATACCAACCACACATTCGCTACTTCTCGCCAAGTCTCCTCTACGACAAAATTTTGAACCAAATCTAGGTATCGACCCAGATGACGATAACATTTTTTTCGTTACCCATCTATTGGATCAAAAAGAGTATTTTTCCCTTTTTTGCCTCTGATAAATTTTCGATGACACAATTAAGCAAATGATGCATAATTAACACATCACAATTTATTCTACATTTTGTAAGCATAGAGTGAGGAAATATATCAAGGATGTCGATTATGTTCCGGATTAATTCGATTCCGATGTAAAATAGAATTAATTTCTCCGAAAAATCCAAGTGCCAAAATCTCTACCAAAACTACTTGAAATAAAAACTAAATAAAATATAGAGACATAAGAATTAATACAAATCTATATTTTTATTTACAAAAAACTTAGACATTGTACAATTTATTTCATTGTAAACAGCAGTACTACATGTAATTATGGTTGCGTTGGTGAGTTAACGCAACATGAATTATGTTAAAAAAAATGAACAGATAAATTAAGATACTACTATAACGAGAAGCATTTTCAGGAAATATATCGGAAAAATATCAAATTTGATGACTTTTCTAGTTTTTCTTTAGATCTAAGATTGCGAAAATATGTCACTTTTCAGTTGATATACACCGTACCGGTCAACAAATTTTTCGACCATGGACTTAAATTTATGTAGGATAAATTCATATTATTCTTACACATAACCATGTCTCTGGTGGAGAGTTGTCTCATTGGCAATCATACGATATCTTCTAATTTTTATATAGAACATTTTTTTGTCAGGCTAACATCTATGTTTATGCAGTCCGTATAACGTAAACTCGCGTACCGTATAAAAGAGAAATATAAAAGGATTTAAAAGAGAACACATAAAAAGAAGAAGAATAGTGTGGCACGCTTCACTACTCGATGGCAATATAACAATCATGTATAGTTTAGTGTGACGTCCATTTTCATTGAACTAGTACACATTTTTGTTTAGGGGCCAGCTGAACCACGCCTCCGGGTGCGGGATTTTCTCGCTGCGAAGAAGACCCATTAGTGGCCTTCTGCTGTTTTCTGTTCTTTGGTCGGGTTGTTGTCTCTTTGACACATTCCCCACTTCCATTCTCAATTTTATACATGAACATGTAAAACATTCGAGGCAAAATATATTCGCATCACATCCATGGTTGTTACTATCCTGTAAGACATACTTTTTTTAATTTAAATTAATCGGAATAGCATGTGCCTGACGGTAACAATCGTCTCTAAGAAAAATATGACGGTGAAACATAATCCGTATTCATCAGAATATGAAAACAGGAGGACATGCGGTAACATGTCTAATTATACAGCAATCAACAAAATACCAAAGGACAATGATTTGAACAGCTGTAACCATGTCCATTTAAGAATATTTTAGGTATAGTTAATGAGCGTTTGTGCAGAGAGCAATAGTTGTTTGCAAAAAAAGATCAGTTAAAATATTATTTCGTAAAGTGATACATATGGACTGTAGAAATTTTAATAAACGTGCACATTCGTCTGACAAGAAGACTACATGCAAAGTAGCAAAAACAAAACATAAAATACCATGCACAAAAGAATTTACAGTAAAGTAAATAAATTATTTAGAACACCAATCAAATATTTATGCATTGAACATTATTCATCCTATGAACATATAGCTGTTATGTAAATATATTATGCTTGTGACATTGCGCTCAGAAATGGACATCCTAACTATTTCAGATTTTCCATTTGAACCAATACAGAATAACAAAAGACACAACAATAAATGGATAAAGAACAATTCGACTTTGTAGGGTTTTGACCGAATAAAATTAAGTTTTTAATATCAGTTTTAACAGATCTTTTATACAAAACTATTAGTATTAGCTGTTTCAGTGCATCTTAAATGTAAGAGATAAAATATTGTTTTCTTACCCATCTGTCCTACTTATTACAACGTCTAAAGACAATATAGAATTTTGATTATATTACAATCACACATAGTTGCAGTTTCTAACGTTATAAAAGTATACCGAGGCAATTCTACTTGATTCAAAACCATTTTCCTCTGCTTTAGTCCTTTTCACGCTGTTCATTTTTCAATTATTTAACTATAAACCTAATTACTGACTGTAGTTTTGAGTTAATATTTGTTGGGAAGACTATTGTAACTTATCACAGCCACAACAATATCTCGAACCTGATTGCTTTTAGAATTCAGAAACTGAGGCGAAAAATCGTGTACATAAAATTCTTTTAAACTTAATAAGCAGTTCCTATAATTATTCTATTTAGAAGCATACAAATTTTAAGTCATTGAATCTAAAGTTGTACGACTTTGCCCCCAGCAGAGCTATAGAAAAACAGTACATTAACGGGTGTTACACGGACACTTTATAAATGATACACGCACACTTTTTCGTTGTTACACGGACACTTTTTATGAATAGAATCACTCGTGCATGATCAGTGAGTTCATGGGCACTTTAAATTTCAATTAAATTTGAACTTTTTTTTTACCGACATATTTCCTCTCTTGTTTATTAAAATATTTACGTTGGCATTAACAACTATATTTTTTTCAAACAATTCCAGTATATTACTATTCATATCAGTACACTAAGTGGTTGACCATTTAACTTCAAAAGGGGGTTATGGTTTTTTCCTAAAAAATATTCTGATCCCCAGTTTTATGAGAAAAATATATTGTGGTCAAGCAGATGACACAATAATGTTTTGATTCCTGATTTTCCGAATACCGTGTATAATAGTGCTAATTTAAAAAAAATCATTTGGGTGATAGCGTTGAAAAACTAAATAATTTTCTTACTCAGAAAAGAATATACCCCCCTTTTGAAGCTTAATGGTCGGTCCGTAAATGTTTTTTTTTTTTTTCAATATATGGACATGAATAGTATTCTGAACCATGC